ACAGAGAGAGAGACAGCGAGAGAGGGAACACAAGCAGGGGGAGTGGGAGAGGGAGAAGCAGGCTTCCCCGCGGAGCAGGGAGCCCGATGCGGGGCACGATCCCAGGACCCTGGGATCATGACCTGAGCTGAAGGCAGACGCTTAACGACTGAGCCACCCAGGTGCCCCAAGAGAATGGTGAGAATTAAAGAAGATCAGGTTGGACAGGAAGGTTGGGGTCACTTTAAGAGAAACCACTGGACATTTGAAGAATTTTAAGGAAAATTACTTAAATTACTTAAAATGTAATGGCAGGAGACTGAAAGTAAAGAAATCAGTAGGTTGTTAAATTAGGCTGGTTAGAGATGAGGACAAAATAATTGAGAGAAATGAGGGTGACAGCCTCAATGGTGGAATGTTAAGAATAGTTAGAGGGTGAAAGGGAAAGGTGTTTGCAGGTACCTAGTGACTACAGAAGTGGTTAAGAGTTTGAACTTTGGAGCCAGACTACCTGAATTGGAATTCTAGCTTTAGGCAAATTAACCTCACAGCTTCCTCATCTGCAAGATGGAAATGATAATATCTCATAGAATTGTTTTAGTATTAATGACTTGATACAAACATAGTACTTAGAATAGTGCTCAGCACACCATGCCATGCACATTCGTTTCATTACTAGTCTGAAAGGTGTCATTTGGCACTAGGAATTTTAAGGTTTTCACATGGATATTCACATGGAGATTATATATCAGGGATTTCTAGCCATGTATGAGCTTAGGAGGTCTGTGAACCCTCTGAAGTTGTTAGATTTTGTGTGAATGCATGGTTGCCTATTAGAAAGCTTCACAGCTTTATTAGATTTCAAAAGGGGAGATTATGAACCAAAATAAAAAGGTAAAGCCCTAATAGGGCAGTTGAAAATAGAGAAAGCTGGTTTGAGAGAGAGGTGGGGTTTGATGATAGAAATGTAAAAATCATCTGCTTAGAGTGAGTAGTTGATAACTGAGATTATATTTAACATAAGATAATGACTATACTGAGAAAACTGAGAACCAAAGACTGAGCTTTGGAGGAATACCCACAATTAGGATAAACAGTGAATTAATAAAAGTTACTGCATTTTAGCAGAATTTAAAAATCTGAGCACAGAAGCCAAGAGATGATTGTTCTAGGGAGTGGGTATCTATCATTATAGGAAGGTAAAGGGGATTAATTAGACATGATTGTTGGAATTAGCAAGATGGAAATTAGAGTTCAAGTTGAGTAGAGAATGGATGGTGAAGAAGATGGAGGCAGATACTAATCTGAGAAATTTGGCAATAAAAAGTACACTAAATTGAATTGGGTTCTTTTATGAACTAAAATCATATGAAATACTGCTACTGTATTCTTGATTATGGGTTATATGTGCTGATTTTTGCCTTCTCTCTTTTAGGGTTTCAATCCACCTGTTCTTGTTTTTGTTCAGTCCATTGAAAGGGCTAAAGAACTTTTTCATGAGCTCATATATGAAGGTATTAATGTAGATGTTATTCATGCAGACAGAACACAGCAACAGGTAAAGTCAAGTGTATACTTTCAAAATGATAAAGAACTACTAAACTTTAAAATATTGGCATGAAATTTATAAAGTACTTGTTTTCTGTTCCTAGAGTGATACTGAAACATTTAACATGTGTTTTACTAACTAGAGAGATAACACAGTCCACAGCTTCCGAGCTGGAAAAATCTGGGTTCTTATTTGTACAGCCTTGCTGGCCCGAGGGATTGATTTTAAAGGTGTGAACTTGGTGATCAACTATGACTTCCCAACCAGTTCAGTGGAATACATCCACAGGATAGGTGAGTTGTCTCTCCTGCTGCTACCCCTCTGCCCCCCACAACCCCTGCCACCCCCGGGCACTACTCATCTGTCTTGCGCCTACTCCTTCCCTTCAAACATGCTCATTTTGTAGTGCTCATTTTAGTGAAAAGCCAGTGACTTGTACGTGAATCTTGAAGTTCCCTTTCCCCAGAAAAGCGGTTTTGTTTGTTTTTTTTTTTCTTTTAGGTCGAACTGGAAGAGCGGGGCATAAAGGAAAAGCTGTTACATTTTTCACTGAAGATGATAAACCATTATTAAGAAGGTAAATTAGGAAAAATAACTTAGTATTAAGATGGCAGGACTGCTTCATTATTCTTGCATGCACACACAATCAACACATAATTACAAAATGGCCAGGTCCCAAATACGGTCATGGCATTAGTCAACCAGGTTTTAGCCATGACAAAAGGAAAAATGATCAAAGGGCTTTGTTTTTGCATTTTCATTATTAGAATTTGGAAGTATTCATAATGGAATGTTCATTATTAAATTTCAAACTCACAGGATTCTCCCAATAGCCATTGGTTGGTATTACTCACAATGTAATAGTGAAGTTTTTGGATTGGTGAATAAAGTTAACCCGAGTCTCTTCAGCCCAGTCGAAATTATCTCTTACCATGATGCACCCTTCCCTTAACTCTTATGGGCAGATGGAGTTTTATATTTAGTCCTGGGAAAAACCCTTTCAGTAACACACTCCCAATATTATTCAGTTGTAGCTCTTTGAAGCCTGGGTAACACATGCACTTTTAGAATCTTGGGTCTTAATTTAGCCCAGCATCGTAGATCTTAAAATAAAATCTGAGTTTCTTACATTTTTGCTGCCTACAGTAATTTTAGACTGATAATAGCACTTTGCATTTCTAACAAATGAAATTGAGTTATGGCCAAAGGCAGTTTGTACTTTGATGTGTTTATCAGTTTTGGCAAAGATTTTGATTTGTGCCTTCTGAACCTTGGCTTTGTCAGCCTTGGATATACTTTGAGCAGACTTTTACACGTTCATGTGTAGGGGAGTCTATTCCAAAAGCCTAGATTCACCTACATCTCCTCAGTAACTCCAAGCATGTGAATTTCATGACCTCCATGTCAATATAACCATGCCTCTCAGTTTTCCATCCAGGCAAGGGGGATAATAATAGTGTTTCATTAGTAAAGGGTTGTTGTGTGGATTTGGATTGAAGAAGTCACTACATGTGAAAAGCCTAAGACAGTGCCAAGTGCATAGTAAGCACTATCATCTAATAAATTCTAGTCAGTGTCCTCATCCAAGATTGGGTTAGTAGCTTTTCAGGGCTTGGTAAATGTTGGGGAGAAATGGCTGCTAGATAAAAATTACTCATCGGCACATGGATTTCAGTCCAGCAGACAGTTCTCTCAGCAATCCTGTGTGCTTACATCTGGTGATCATTTATAACAGAACGCTGTCCCAGGGGTGCCTGGGTGGCTCAGTCGTTAAGCGTCTGCCTTCGGCTCAGGTCATGATCCCAGGGTCCTGGGATTGAGTCCCACATCGGGCTCCCTACTCAGCGGGAAGCCTGCTTCTCCCTCTCTCACTCCCCCTGCTTGTGTTCCTCTCTCGCTGTGTCTCTCTCTGTCAAATAAATAAATAAATAATCTTAAAAAAAAAAAAAAAACAAACCAGAACGCTGTCCTGGATTACTTTCTTGTGGGTGTAGTTTTCATTCCTCTCAAATTGTGCAGAGGGTTTAAGTACATAAACATCAATTTGACTAGATACAAATTTATGTTTATGGGTTCCTTTTTCAGCGTTGCCAATGTTATACAGCAGGCCGGATGTCCTGTGCCAGAATACATAAAAGGTTTCCAAAAACTACTAAGGTACAATCTTGAATTTGCCTAGATGATCTCTCTCTCTCTCCCTCTCCCTCTATCCCTCCATATGCATTCTTGTTTTCACACTCTTAAAACTAGTTCTAGCAATACTACTAGTTTTAGGAATTCTAAGATAAAAATTTTCCTTTTTAAATATCTGTGAATATGTTCTTTCCTTATCAGTTTTTTCATTCTTGAAATGTTAATCAGATTTTTAAAAAATTATTCAATGTAAGTGAAATATGCTTAGAATTTATTTTAGTCCATAAAACTGGTAAAAAGCAGTTAATTGCCCCAAGTGGAACTTCAGTGCTTGTTGGCACAGGATATAAGTGTGACTCAGGACATATTTTAATCAGTGCCTTTTTAAAAAATTGATCAAATTTATCATCCCTTTGGGTTATCTCTCTAAATGCTACTGGGTCATTTAGCATTTTAAAGTGGATATAGTGTCACCACAAACCATAAGTAGATTAAAAAGTGAATTTTTGTGATCAAGAATCAAAACTAGTTTTAGCTTAAGCTGTTTTCAATTAAGTTCTACTGAATTTCATTCCTTTCTCTTTTTATAACTTTCAGCAAACAAAAGAAAAAGATGATTAAGAAGCCATTGGAAAGGGAGAGCATTAGTACAACTCCAAAATATTTCTTAGAAAAAGCTAAGAATAAACGGTAAGTATATGATGACTGTTCAACTGTCATATGGTTATAGTAGGCATTATTTTTCCTTAGGATAAATTTTTCGAGGTAGAATTGATAGGTTCAGTCAGTTATAGAATGTAATGAAAGTAATGTATTTTAGGTTGCCTGTGATTTGGGAACTTGGATGATTCAATCTCAGAATTTTTCTCTATCTGTATATTAATGATCTGGTTTTTTCCATCTTTGAAAGAATGATTTCAGTTCACTTTGAATTAGAACTGCACTGCCCACCACCTCCACACAGCCTACTTCAGGACATACTGCTGAGGCAGTGAGGGCTGTTGACTCACATTGATGGAATCTTCCCTGAAGGCTCCCTATTCTAGGCAGGATTTCAGTATAATCTTAGGCTTATGCTGAAGCACCTTGTAACACCTCTAAAAAGTATGACTTGAATAAATTTGTAGTAGTTTAGCTGAGTTTTAGGACGATGTTCAAGCATTGTTGTTTTGTTTTGTTTTAGTATATACACAGGACTACCTTTTGATAGGGGTAATCAAGACTGTGCTAACCTCTACTACTCTTTACACTATTTAAGGAAAATGACACTCTTCAAATTCTACCGGTACCAGTTTATATCTAATATATATAAAATGTAGGCATTTACCAAGGACCTTTTCTCCTGCCAGGTGCTTGGGTATGTGAATGAATGTAAAATGAGACCCCTTTCCTAGTATACATTAAAAAACATTAGAGAATAATTTTTAAATAAAATAGAAGTTTGGAGACTACAAATACTCTGAATTGGTGTAGTTACAAAAAGCTTCAAGGAGCTGGAACTATCTTTAAGGACAGGTAAAATTTAGGCCTATGGAAGGGACAAGGTGAACAAAGGCAAGAAGACTGGCATGCTTTCCATCTAAGTGGAACAAGAGTCTTACTTGACATTTTGTATTGACTGTGAGAAGTATAATGTTAAGTTCAAGGATGTAGAGTGTACACAGTGTCCCAAAGTTTTAGTGCAGTTTTAACCTTTAATAACTTGGGAAGAATAAATGCAACAAACTTAACAAAAGTATCATTTGAAAGCTTAAAACATTTATTTATTTATTTATTTTTGGATGTTATGTACTTTTTTTTTAAATTTTTTATTGTTATGTTAATCACCATACATTACATCATTAGTTTTAGATGTAGTGTTCCAGGATTCATAAAACATTTTATTTGTATCTGTACGTACTCATTTTTGTTAGTTCTTAGTATTAACACTTTTTATTTGAATTTTTTGTGGTACCAGTTTCTGGCTGACACTTAAACCAGTGGATTGGTAGAGATGGTCACCCTGCTAGGCCACCTTGGTTACCTGATCTATTAGACTTTTTCTTGTAGCTGTATCAGAACTGTTGTGTATGCATCAGAACATTATTCTGTGGGTGAACTTAAAGCTAGAATTAGAAATGTAATCTCTTCAGGCACTGAGCAGCAGCTGATGAAAGTTTTAACAAAAAGTCAGAAATCACATATAGTATTAAGATGGTGGCTGTGTTGAATTTTAATAAGAAACATAATATTTTAAAGAATTATACTTTGGGGGCACCTGGGTGGCTCAGTTGTTGGGCGTCTGCCTTCGGCTCGGGTCATGATCCTGGGGTCCTGGGATCGAGCCCCGCATCGGGCTCCCTGCTCCGCAGGAGGCCTGCTTCTCCCTCTCCCACTCCCACTGCTTGTGTTCCTGCTCTCGCTGTGTCTCTCTCTGTCAAATAAATAAAATCTTTAAAAAAAAAAAAAAAAGAATTATACTTTGGATGTTGATTTTTATATGTTTGTAGCATTTACACTTGAGGTGTTAAAACTTAGCTGCACTGAGACTTCGAGGACACTTGACATAAATCTTGTCACCTAAGCCCCCCATTTAAGAAGCTGTGGTCATGTCCATTGTTTCACTTTTTTTTTTTTAAAGATTTTATTTATTTGACAGATAGACACATAGTGAGAGAGGGAACACGAGCAGGGGGCGTAGGAGAGGGAGAAGCAGGCTTCCCACCAAGCAGGGAGCCTGATGTGGGGCTCGATCCCAGGACCCTGGGACCATGACCTGAGCCGAGGGCAGACGCTTAACGACTGAGCCACCCAGGCGCCCTGTCCATTGTTTCACATTTAAAAGCCATCCTCCTTAATAGAGCATGTAAACAACACCTGATCCAACTCCAGCTTACCTTTTTACTCTAGGTGTTCCTTTAATGATCCCACACCTTGCTGAGAACTCTGAAGTCCATATATCCAGGCCCAGCTTTCCATATAAACCTGAATCCTCTTGCCTAGTGGACCTCACATCAGGCACTACAAACTGAGCCTGGTAGAGTGGAGGGAAAAATTGGATTTGGAGTCCGAAGGATTGGCTCTCATACCACCTTTTCCTGTGTGACTTTGGACAAGTCACTTCCCCTTGTATATGATAGAAATAAGTATGTAAGTCATGCCAACTCTGTCTGCTACTCAAAGTTGGTTGAGGATTAAATAATATACATCCAGGAACTTTGCATTACTAAACTGTAGAATGCAAACATTGGTTATTTTCTCCCCAAATTTTTCCTTTTCCTCTGTTAACTTAATTGATGGGCATTCACCAAACTCTAAAATCAGACTGTCAGGGTTCATATCTAACATTTATTATCAGTGTGTGATGATCAGCAAGTTATTCAACCATTCTGCCTCATTTTCCTCATCTGTAAAATGAGGGTAATATTAGAATCTTCGTAAGTTAGGAATATTATCTGAGCTGATACATACAAAGCACTTATAACAGTATCTAGCACTTAATCAATGTGAACTCTTAACTATTAGTAATGTCAGAATCAGACTCCATCTTTTATACCATGTTGTAGTGTAGTTTACGATGATGTTTCTGTCTCACTTAGGTGATTGTGGTTTCCTAAAGGGCAGAAACCATGTCTTATGCATCCTTGTGTTCCTAGTGCCTCGTATACTTGATTATACAGGTTTCAAGAAATGTTTGTTAAACTGGCAGAGTTTTAAGAGAGTACATATATCTAGAATTTTGGATTCAACTTTTCTTTAATTTTCTTGTCACAGGAAAAAGGTCCCTGGTCAGAACAGCAAGAAGAAAGCTCTTGAAGACAAAAGTTAAAAACAACTTTTTTTTTTTTTTTTTTTTTAAGATTTTATTTATTTATTTGAGACAGAGAGAATGAGAGACAGAGAGCATGAGAGGGAGGAGGGTCAGAGGGAGAAGCAGACTCCCCGCCAAGCAGGGAGCCCGATGCGGGACTCGATCCCGGGACTCCAGGATCATGACCTGAGCAGAAGGCAGTCGCTTAACCAACTGAGCCACCCAGGTGCCCAAAAACAGACTTTTTAAAAGACTGTATCAGAAATGGAATTTTATGATCCCAGCATGAATGTTTTCATGAAATACTTCAAATCCTGTAATCACCTGTAACATTTGAAATCAACTACAAGAACGTGGGACTGATGAAAAATGATCCTGAACTATCAATGCATCATGTCAAATTTCAATTTGTAGGTGACTTTTAAATGATTACACAATGGAAATAACGTTCATTCACATTTCTGTGGTGTGACTCCAGAGAGATACTTCTTATAGAACAAAAGCTTATGCTAAAATTAACAACACCCAAATGTGGTGAACTCTTAAGGATTTTTTCCTTCAGTGTGAAGGAAGGTGTGATGTATGCTGTGGAGGGGCATCTGGAACCAAATTTCAAAATAAAGCCTTGAGATTAAATGCCCCTTTTCACCACCACTCCCCCCCCCTTTTTTTTTTTGAATGGACAAGAAGCAGCACAGGCTGTCTACCAAGAAGAGACCTATTGCTCTCTTTATTTTACTATTTCTTAATTTGTTGATGGCCTTTTGTGGTAATGAGCCACAACAAAGAGCCTCTTCTGTGACTTGTTACTCAAGTTCCCTAGGATTTTAAATTCTTTGGTCTATTAAATATCCTTATACCTCATCGGTAAAAGCTCATGCCTTACCTGTCATAATGTTGCAGCTACAAGATTATGGTCAGCCTCCCTCTTTCTTCCATTTTCCATCATTTAATCATGCTCCCCGTCTCTTTCCATTCAAGATGACTTTGCGTGAAAACTGATAAACACTTTATCCTGATAAGGAAGAATGTTCCTGTTACTTGATACACCTGTGGCTGCATTCTCTTACAGCTTGTCTTTCCTGAGGCTTTACGGCCCTGCATCCATTTAGGAGACAGGTCTCTGCCAAAGGTAAAGAGTCAAGCTTATACAGTGATGGAGACTATTCACTATTAGCAGATTTTTCTTAGTTGCTAGTTTTTGTACAGTTGGAATAAAAAATTGACTTCATATATGTAAGGTACTTACAATGGCACCTGACATGAAGGTAGTTATTACCAGTACTACTACAATACTGTAATGTAAATAATCTTAGCAGCATTTGAATTAAACATATTAATTTCCTTTATTCTCAGCCTTTTATTCTAATGTCAGGACGGATAGACTCCAACTTGAATATTTTAAATGAGACAAATTGTTCATCTTCAGAATTTATGTAAATGGAGACCGTATGCTACAAGGTACAAAAAATACATACAAGCATGTGATCTTTTTTTTTTGTTCTTGCAAACAGATTCTTGGCTCTATATATCCTGGAGGTAGTTGTGATGGTGCCACCTATTGCCAACTCTATGACTTTGAATAGGTTCTTTAATTTCTCAGAGCTTTGGTTTTTTTATGTATGAGATTGGGGGTAATACCAACTATGTCTCAGTATTGGAAGTGCCTAGCTCTGTGCCTGACACGTTATATATTAATGCCAAATACTCCTTAAACAAACATGATATATTTGGTTAGGAATACAAGGCTTAATAACACAGTCTGTGCCCTTAGAGTGTAGTGGTGGGTATAGAGTAAAGGAACAAATAGTGTGGCAGGCAAATGCTGTGTTAGACATAAGGCCAAGATGCTGAAGCATCAGAGGATGGCATCTAATGTCATGGAAGGCTGACCTCCTGTGCTGAGTCTAGCAAATGTAGGAATCCACAGGCAAAGGAGAACAAAGTATCCTGGCAGAAACGAGATCACATCTTCTATGATCCTGATATACCCCCTTCATTTGACTTTATTTTCTCTTTTTAGTATTTCCTCCTGTGTAACTACCCATCCTTAAATAACAGTGGCTATATACACCAGTATTAACTTGGTTTGTCAATGGATTAATACCGAATTTAGCACTTTTATATCTGTTGGGACTATATGGTACACAAATTTCAGTTTCACCTAAAGAAGAGAAATGAAATTAGTAGACCGTTATGAAAAGAGAATACATGATAACTGAATAGCTGCGCTAGTGAAATGAGTAAGGACTTTTATGTGTAACACCTGGGTTTGAATCCTGGTCCTGCTGAGTTGCAACTCTATGACCTAGGCAAATTACAACTTCTTTTGACCTTAAGTTTTCTCATCTGCAAAATGCCGATACTAACTCTTAGGGACACTGAAGACTTGAAAAAATTCAGTAAGGTTCCTGACTAGTGATTTGTGCCCAATAAAAGATAACTATTATTACAAATGGTTTCCCTGTAAAAGCCTTGGGGCAAGAGTGAAAGATAAAGCTAATTATAATTAATCCACTACCTGCTAATAAGCAAACTGCTTGAAGGCTTGAAAAGGTTTACATTGGACTTTCGTATTTTACTTAACAGTAGTTCGAGTAGGGGAAAAAAATATGCCCAAATTTTATATATATTTTATATAATATACCCAGATAAGTTCAGAGTAATGATGAACTGCTTTGCAAACACCGTTTTGCCCCTGCTTGCAAGTATAGGAAAAGCAGGGATTATTGGGTGGCATGGTGGCAGAACCAAACACATTGGAACGGTGCGCGTTGAAGGTTTTATATACGGGCTAGGTTTATTTGCGCTAGGCTGCTTCACTAAATTTTAAATACCTTTATCTTCTGGGGTGGGTGCCAAAAGGAAGCTGCCGAATTCTCGGGAAGAAGTAGAGAGAGGTGATCACTGACCAGCGCCGTAAAGCTATCAAAGAAGCGTCCAGGATCCACCTACTCTTTAAGTGTAAAACGAATAAAATACCCGTGCACCCATCATTCCAATTTAAAAAGCAGGATTCAATCTCCTCTTTTCACTAACCAACCTGACGGTTTTTTAAACGGAGGGACAACGCTTTGCCGCTGGGCCGCCAGCCGGACCTTCCGGAGGGCCTTGCCAGAGAACGAATCAGCTCCCCTGAGCCGTCCACGCAACCCCAGAACTAGAATCGGACTCGGAGGACCCCCAGCGGCGGTCGGGCCACGTGACGAGGGTGCGCCGCAATCCCCCTCCCCGGGGCGCGGAGGGTCACGTGGGCGCATGGCTCCGCCCCGTCGCCCAGTCCGCGCCGTGGAGGGGCTGGCGTTTGCCCCGGAAGTGGCTGTCTTCCCCTGACAGCTGCTTGTAAGGTGGCGGCGGCGGGCCCGGAGCAAGATGGCGCTGCGGCCGGGAGCGGGAGCTGGCGGCGGTGGGGCCGCGGGAGCCGGCGCTGGGGCTGCCGGGGGAGGCAGGTGGGTGTGAAGAGCCGGGCCGGACCCCAAGGCTGGCCCCGCCGGGGCGAGGGCTGTGTGGCAGTTATGGCGGTTTTCGCCCGCTTCGACCCCTTTTCTTTTGGCACTGGGTTACGGGAGAAGGGGGTCCTCCGGGGACCTAGGCCGAGGGGGCGGGGGAAACCTGGCGCCCGACTCCTGTCTCCCAGGCTCAGGGGCCCTGGTGCTGGGGCCGAGCAGCGAGCGAGAGCGTCCCAGTGCGGGGAGGGGAGGAGCAAGAAGAGCAGGAGGTGAGGGTCCGCTCGGCTGGGCTGGCACCCGGCCGGGGCTGGGGAAAGCAGGAACCCCGACGTCTCGCTTCTAGCCCGGGCTGGCTCCGAGCGACCAGACTTCCCTTTCCCAGGGCTTTCCGGGCTTGACCGGGGTTAGGGTAGTGAAGGCTCTGAAAAAATCTGGTCACAAAACTGAACAGCTGATTCCAAGATTTGTGTGTGTGTACTATTTGTCTTCCCCCGTTTAGAATGTCCTGTCCTTTTTATCACCTTAGGAACACATGAGAAACAGCAGGAAAAGGTAAAGACCTTTGAATTAATAAATAGAGCTCTTGTAGACGTAACTCTTAAGACTTGTCTCCTTATTAAAATCAAATCACTATTAAACAGCAGTTACACAGTTATTAGAACAAAGCTTCCAGACTTTTACTTAGTCCTTAAATAAATCTGTCCTCTGTCATATAATAATTGCCTGTGGTTCTCATATCCAGAATGATAAAGGAGAAGAACGTCTGCAACTTGACAAGTTCATCATTTAAGGAAATCCTTTATTCGGGGAAGTTTTCACCCCACTTCTGTAATGACCTAGTCTGAGTTTGTTTTGTTAACCAACACATAGTGCATACACATTTGAAGATAAAATTAGCTTTTTATCTTCAGCATCCTAAATTATTTTTGGAAAGCAAAGTGTTAGTATTTTGATAGGCAGTGTTTTAATTTTGGAGTCAGGAACACTAAGCAGTGTGAAGTCTTTAAAGTTATCACCTCCTGCAGGTGCTTATATATATGCTAGGAAAAAAGGGCAGTGGCTGTTGAATGAACCACCTGTGTGCAGCCCCATTTTCCATTTCCTCAACACATCTTTTACTTTAGATTTAAAACTGTTTTCTTTTGTTTTCCAGTCTGCGCTGTTTCATTAGAGTCTTTCATGAATACTTGATATGTCAGTTTCTGGCTGCAGAAGACAAATATGTAATCTATTTTCTATATGTGATGACAGTTTCTAAAATGTTCTTGAGTGGCATTAATTTGACCAAGTATATGATTAATCATGGCACTCAGTTCTGAAAAAATATAAATTTGGTATTTTAGGCCTATGGGTTTTCTTTTGGTTGTTTGGTTTCTGTTTTTTGTGGGGGGGGAGGACCATGTGCAGAAAGTTGAGTGGATCATCCCCCTTAGTTTATAGTGTTTTAATGTCACCAGTCCATGAACACTCATTTTTAAAAATAAGTATGGCCTGAATTGTGATAGAAGTTCAATTGATTTTAAAATTTCTTTCATCTATAAAAGGTGGTTGGAGTAACATCGAATTCTAAAACTCTAGAGAGGGACGCCTGGGTGGCTCAG